TCATTGAAATTTGAGTGAACATATCATTAAAATATAGCGAGAGTATCACTTGAAAGAACTGAGGCTATCGCTGGAAAAGATTGATACCGTCACTGGAAAGATGTATACTGTCACTGGAAAAGATTGATACCGTCACTGGAACAGACTGAAGTCATCGCTGGAAGAAATTGAGACCATCACTGGAAAAGACTGAGGCCATCATTAGAATTGTCCAATCGTAATGCAGCATTAGGGCAGTGCTAATATGTTACAGGCAAATACAAATAGACATCTAATGCATAAACAGAAAGACACGAAGCAAAGTACAGCAGTTGCAATTGATCAGTGAGCTCGAAACGGCGAGCAGAGACAAAGGGCCGAAGATGAAGAGCCAAAGACAAAGAGCCGAAGACGAAGGACCCAACAGCAGAGACAAAGGGCCGAAGACGAAGAGCCGAAGACGGAAGACCCAAGAGCAGAGACCACTTTGAAGAACAGAGACGAAGAGCAGAGATGAAGGGCTGAAGATGAAGGACCGAAGAGCAGACGAAGACCCGGTGGGGGCAGATGGCTCATCTGCATGACTGAAACAGACAAATCATCAGTGAGACAGCACGCATAGAAAAAACTTACCCTTCGCCTTGCTGGTCGTGCACGTGAAGGTTTAGGCCGTGGTACCGGGGTAACCTGGATGCTCTCGGGCTAAGCGAGGATGTCAATCTACGATTCAATGAGTTCAAATGTCAGCCAGTGGCGATGATAAATCACTAAACCTTGAGATGTGCCGCAGAGGCTTCAGTTGCCAGTGGTTTAGGCTTGGTCTTGGCACGAGTGCTGCGAGGAATAGGCACAGCTGTTGCTTTCGGCTTGGTAGTTGATGGACCTTCTGTTGCAACCTTTGTGGTGCGTGTGTCTGATGAGGATATTGGCCTCGACTTGGTGGCAGGTGGTGGGTCTGGACAGGTTGGAGTGGGCAGCGGCAGGTCTAGATGGCGAGAAGGAGCCTGGGTCATCCTTGACTTCGGAGCTGGCTTTGTGCGAGGTGCTGGAGCTGGCTTTGCACGAGCAGGAATAGACACCTGCAAGTCACGGTAGCTTTGAGTATTAGTAAGGTAATTGAAAGGTCTTGAATACTCACATGTGCGAACTTGAGTTTTTTTTGAGGTCGTGAGTTGTGCTCCTCGTCAGTCCCTGAATCATCTGAATCATGTATGCTGCTGGTGTCGTTTTCGTTGTAAAGTTGAGGTTGAAGTATTGTCACCATCATTAAGCATGTCATCAAGTTCCCCGTCACTGAGATCTGAGTCATCTGTCTGTGTGCATACACTCAATTAGCTTGCGGCTTTCAATCAAATAACTTGCATACCTCTGAGTCGTCCTCACTTGCATGCTTCTTTGTGTATTGGACATGATTGCGAAGATAACTAGCCACAAAGTCATTGAATGGCCAATTATCACTGGAACTTTGCCAGAAACTGGTGTTTGCGCTGTGCCTGAGCATGGTTAGAGTAGCATATACACACAGAAAAGGACACAATACTTACATATGATAAAAGGAGTGTGACAGTGAGTTTGTCCTGCTCTTTGAGAGTTTTTCTCCGTGTCGAGGTATCGATTCGTATATCGCCGTGCGATCATCTAATTAAAGTATGAATCATCTCAAAGTGCTCAGGTCCACACAACTCACTCTAAACGCATTATATTTCCAGTTGTCACCGGCCAATCCCATTGCTTGTTGAAGATTATACCCTCCTTTTAGCTCTGATCTCCCTGCCTGACCCTTGGGCTTGTCAATTAGCTTCTTCGCATGCCCAGTGGGGCCGAGCCTTCCACAATTATCGTAGCTTCTCAATAGCAACAATATCGCCGTCCTCAAAGATGATGTATGCATGGAGATCAAAATGATTTCGAGTGGATGCGTCAAGTGCACACACTCCATCAGCAAGAATAGCACATTCATCATCCAAAGGGATGAGGAAAGACTCAATGTCTTTCGGTTGATGAGGACCCGGAATAACTCTCACACAGATGAGGTTCTCCAGACGAGTTCAGATCTGTGGAGGCAGGTTGAAATTTTGCAGAAGGATGGGAGTAGCAGATGGTCCCCCACGGCGTCTCTTGAAGACGAGATAGCCATCAGCAGATAGGGCGAGCGCTATGTCATGTCACTTGTGAAAGTATTTGTGCCTTCGCTCAACACCGTCTATGATAACACAATGGGAGCAAAGTTGGCGATACCACTCGCCATCGAACACATCCCTGATAATCCTTTCACTCGGCACAAAGTTGTGGCGATAAGTCATTTGTTCGATTATTGCAGGATTATGGAAAAGAGCCTGAAGTCGAGGGATAAGAGGAATGTACATGAATGTGCGTCAAGGGCGTCCGTGTTTGGTATATCGGGCTTCATTGCAAAAAGGACATCTTTCGTCATGAACATATTGTCCCGTGTAAGCGATGCAAGATTTTATGCAGCAGTGTATATTCCGGGGTTCAATTTCAGACAGCAGCGCTAAGCGGTGAACTACGACCCATTCAGAATCCAACATCATTTTGTGTTGGAAAGCATAACACATTCTATCATAGGCATGGTGAGGTATGTTCGCGAGCATCTTCAGCTGAAAAGCTCGGATATTGTCTCGGTCCTCTTCTGTAACAATGTCATTACCTGTGTTAAAATGTTGAGCATGGGGTCGATTGAACAGGAAAACACTCACGGATGTCATAGAAATCACCAGTCAACATTTGGTCCTGCCCAAGCATCGAGCTGCTCTGCAATATCCTGGAGCGAAAAGTGCAGATACTCATCATCATCTGCTTCGTCAAAAATGAAGTTGTTGGGGATATCGATTGGCGTTTCAGATTCGTAGGAGAGATCGGATGCCTCGTCACAGTCGATAGTATCACTACAGGCACCCTGACTATTGCCATCATCGACGCTCATGCCATCATCTGATGACTCAGTGCAGAAGGACCCAGGTCTGCCAGTCGAACTATCGCGATCCACGATTAGTATAATCAGAATAGTACTCTCTGTTGATATTACAGCAGGGCAAACTCACTCGTCATTGGAGCTACCACTCTCTTGCTCCATATATCTGTCTTCATCATCTCGCCTGGTCTGAATCCGAGTCCTCCATACATTTGAGCTCGTCATTGATAAATTTGCGGTAGTGCTTATTGCGCACAGACTTTGATAGCCATTTGCCACACGATGGTTTGCACCTGCAGGTTCCATAGTCATCAGTAGGTAAAGAATTTCTCAGTCGTGACATGGCTGGTCAACGTTGAAGGCGCGATGTCGATGGTGGTGAACGAATCAGAACGATGATCGATGTATATAGTCTTTAAATTATTATGGTCAATGCGCTGGGTAGAGATACGCCATCAAGTACGATAACGTTGAGCTCAGTCAGCAACTGTGCACGTGATGGTGATGCGGTGATGGCTTGCCTGGTCCAGATCTTTCAGCTTGGATTCAGTGTGTTCGTCATTTATTTTTTTTGTGCTCAATGATTCAGTCACTGGTTTAAAGTGATCAATGCTAAAGTCAATAAGATTTTCAAACATCATATTCTCACTTAAAAAGACCTGAGTGCCATTTCAGTGATAGACCTACCGAAAACTTAACGTGATCAGTGACGAACGCATGTAAATCAATTGATTTTACTACCCACAGTGGCAGGCTTGTCATGAGGTTTGTGCTTTAAGTTTAGAGACATTTTCATGTAGTATGGTACCATTTCAATTGCTCACTGGCTTCTATACATAGTCAAAAGAGACAATACCACTGAAGCACGACAATAAATTTATGCACTATGTTGTTGTACACATGTCCCACCCTATCAAATCAATACTCATAATGCATATTGGGTATACAAACATTATGCATTATGCATTATGCATTATGCGTCCAATTACTTGGGAACAACGTCAGGATCCACAAAAGTCGATGCATTATGATCATTTCAACTGTACATCCAACATTAGCTTCTCGGCACCTGTCAATTTACGACAGAGGGTCCTGGTTGCCCGGAGGGCCGTGGCCCGTGGGGAATCAATAATAGACTAACGGCTCTACTTGCCAATCCGGCGACCTCATTTGGACTCCAGAGGTTTGTCAGCACGATTACACATGCTGCAACCCGGCTGCTCTGCCGTCTTCCACTACTCCGAGGAGTCCAGACGCTGTGAATCACAATTGAGCAATTATCATGCGAGAGTTGTAATCATTTGGCTGATATACGCTCAGAAATATGTCTCTTGGATCAAGCACTCAAGCAGCAGGCTTTGTTATCAATGTCATTTTGTGCAGCTTCAATACAACTGATCCGGTACCACCGTGACCAGGAATGGGATCATCGCAAATGTTGTAGGGTTGTGAAGATGCTGCGTGCAAATTGCCACGATAAGTATGGCCATGGGATGGATAATGAGCTCAGAAGCTCCGGCTAACGCCGACAGTCCACTGCAATGATATTTGTCCGTGTTAACTTCGGAAGCTTCAGCCTTCTTGAGATTCCCAATGTATGACATACGTTTACAACAACCAACGCAGAATCGACTGAAGGAGGAGAGCACAGCGTTACCTCTATATATAATATTACCGACCATCCGAGTCTCCCGGCTGCGATTTTCGATACCAGATCGAGTTTTTTCAGTCACTGTCGACGACACGCTTTCAATAGTATCATAGTTAAATTTGGAACTTGTGCGTGGAACTCTGACCATCTATTGTAGTGCCCTCGTCCGAGTTGAGACCGATGCGCTGGTGAGCACTCGATATTAAACATCTACGAGCGAGCTGAGATATACTTTTTTGGGAGCTTCGGCAGTGCTGTACAGGTGTGGCATCCGAGACCTTGGTCCTGCCTCTCTTCAACTCTCTTTCTGGGTCGCAAGCCACCGTTCTTCAATCGTCGTACCTCACCGGCCACGGTTTGATGGAGTGTCAGGTGACTTAAGTGACCGCGAGGCTCCACCAAAGCCTGACGCTTATCTTCATGTAATGACAATGTGTATTTATAATGCAAGGCCGGTCGGAGTCTTCTTCAGCAAGCCACCATCTGACCCAGTATTTGTTGTGTCCCCGCCTCGTTCCGTATGACCTCCCAACGGTCAGAAGAATCTGTGAAGGAAAAGGTCGAGGAGGCCAACGCAGCCAACCTTCAACCTTTAAACCTTCAGCTTGATGCTGGTGATGAGTATACCAATTTTCGTCAAAAATGGTGGCAGCTGTGGTAAGTGAAGCTATTTTGCGAAGTAACGAACTCCTTCCGATGATCGAGCCGCGAGTAGGTTACCTAAGGACCCACCACCTCCAGCTCCTCCGTCTCTGGAGGATGCAGCGGTGCGCGAACTCCCTATGCTAAGTTTCTAAAGGACCCTCCTAATAACATGGTGTTCTATAGCTGACGCCTTTGGCCAATGCTTCCATTTTCTCTCAGCTCACCTACTCCTGGATCACCGATATAATGGTCAGTAATTGAACTTTGATCCCAACGTATACTGTTATAACGCATATATCCAGGTTCTCGGATATCAGCGCACATTACAGGCATCTGATCTATACAAAATGGACCCATCCCGAGAGTCGGCCGTCCTTGCCGCTAAACTCGAAGCTGCATGGCAGCGACGTGTTGAGGCGGCAGCCGACTGGAATGCACGACTTGAGAGTGGAGAAATCAGCCCATCTCTCTTCAAGCGTGCTGGCTGGGCCATGCGTGCAATTTCAAGGAATGGTCAGAAACAAGGCGCAACTTGGTCTGAGCGATGTGCAGAGTTTCAGAACCATTGGCGAGAATCCGAAGGGCGGAAAGAGGCCAGCCTTGCTTGGGCTTTGAATGATGTCTTTCGTGGTATGTTCTGGATTGGAGGTGTATTCAAGGCATGGGTTTTCCTCGTAAATTGTCACTGTCATAATGATTATACAACACCACTCAGGTCTTTGGTGACACGTCACAGCTCATGGGTCCCATCGTCCTTCGGGTGAATAATATCTTGTGTTTGGTTGTGGTAACCTCTGATATTTCTTCTCCCCTGCAGCAAATCATTGTCTTTGCGCAGGAGCGTTCCGCTGCGACCATTGCAGGAACACCTGTCCCTGATATCGGTCGTGGTATTGCCATGGCTTTTGGGCTCTTTGTACTCACTGTGACAGCCAGCGTATGCACCCACCAGGTTTGTAAAACTTTATGAGTTGTATTTAACTTGGCTAATATTTACAAGTTCTTTTGGCGTTCAATGGCGACTGGCGTACTGGCTAGAGCCGCACTGATAACATGCATTTACGAGCGTGGAGTTAACCTCACGGGCAAAGCGCGTGTTAAACTCAACAACGCCACGCTTGTTAACCATATTTCTACTGACGTGAGCAGGATTGACGCGTGTGCGCAGTGGTTTGTGAGTTGCAAACTTAAGTATTACGTTCATGCTGTTGACCGACTTGTAACCTGTTCCTCGTTACTAGCATGCATGTTAGTGTATAAAATCTCTGACATTCAAATTTAGAGATGACTTACTGTCCTCAAGCCTGGACCGCGCCTATTCAGGTCACAGTTTGTTTAATCATTCTTTTAACCGAGGTATGTTGTACGCTATGAGGAGTTCGGTTTGTTCTAACCGCACTTGAAAACTAG